TTTCATGCAAACAATCCGATAAAATGCTAGCCTTTCCAAGCCTTGCGACTATTCCCTATCACTCTCCTCCGCAGAGGCGTCGTGTTTTGTTTTGTTTTGAGACGTTTTATTGCAAATTTTTTTTCTTAAAAATATCAAGTTATATTAACAGCCGCCCCTCAATCGCCACAAAAACCATTCTCTCAGAAAGGCTAAATCCGTGGAGAAATTGGGGGGTGGGGGGGGGAGGGGTACACGTTACATGCTCGAAGCTGAAACTGATTAAGTACGTCTCGACTGAGGAAAAAGACGATATACTGGAGGAACTTGATTTGTGAAATCTCGTTAAAGCAGTTGTAGATATGGTTCCAAGAAGAATAGATTTAGTTTAGATTTTTAACTGTTAAATACATGTATGCATCATTATAGCATGAATATTTCTTGTCAGACCTTTTCTGTATCGTATAAAAGAGCAACGCAATTTTGAGAATGCGAAAATTGTGTCTCATAGAACCTAAAATGAATTTATTCCAATTGATTTAATTCCGAGTAGAAATGTCTGGAAAAATTCATGTCTTCGATGTACTTTATAATCTTCCGAATTCTGCTAGATTTCACCCCCAAAATGCATGAAATCGCAATTCAGGGACCCTAGATTTCAAAATTTTCCGGACCCTCCTAGACGGTCTCACGCCTTTGGTGTGAGGTCCCCCCCCCCCCAAAATTAAGGTTTGGCTACGCCACTGGTTATAGCTGTAGGATTATAGCTACAAAGAGTTAAAGTTATTGTTTAAAGTAAAATATAGATGAAGTTAATAAATTAAAGATTTACAAAATCTCTCTTCAGATTCGCACGTTCGCCAAACCTCGACGGCTCATATTTTTCGTTCTGCCCTTTTTCCTGTTTTGCCCCCCCCCCCCCAGTGAAAATTCCTTAAAAAGGCACTGTAACAGCTTTTAACAGCTGAATTCTCTTTCCTTCCAATTTTCCTTCTGGAAGCAAATTTCCTTCCAAGTGGAAACGCTGGGCTGCTGCACAAAGTGAAAGTAGTATAAATAGTTTATAAATTCTGTGCTTTATAAATGGTTTATAAACTTGTTGTTTATATCTTCCAAGACTTCACGATCTGTCTTTTTAATATGGCATAGCTATACAAGTATGTATTATTGTATAAACTTGATTTTATAAACAGGTTTTGTACTAAAAGATATAAATATATCCCTTGCCTTGTTTACGTTTTGCTGGGAGGCAAATTGGGATATTTGTACTGTTTGTACAAAAGATTATATTCTCCATTGTGATTCAACAATGGGAAATTACAATAGCAAATCCTCTTTGGAGCTTTTTAAAAAGTTTTGCCTGCCAGAAAACGTAAACAAGGGATCTATTTATTATTCGTCTAGCACATTTTAAGATGGTGGTTGGTATTAAACTGGTAAGGACTGTATTAGGCATATTCGTTAGCCTTGAAATTGAATCTCGGCTTGAATTGCCAATATTTGTTCTTGTGAAATGTGAAATGACGGATTTTTGTGCCATGAAACGTGGTTTACATGCCTAGCTGTGAGCTGTGATTGAAGCAGGCTTTTAGCCAGGGTCCTAAAAGAGGGCGTCCAATTTTGGTACAACGATACATCTACAATAAAGAGAGGGGCGGGGGGGGGGGGCTTCAAGAAAACGTTCCTCTGGAAAACCTTTGAAGTTTACGTTACTTCATATCAGTATCTGTTCCAAGCTTGTTCGAAATTTTTCAAACACACTTGGCTTTGTGAGTTTGTGCCGCTATGCTTCTTTACTTAACTATGACATTTTCATTCAGCCAGGTACACCATCAAATTGATCAAAATGTCAAATGTATAATAATAATGAGAATTGAAGCTATTTCGTTTCAGATATATTACTATACTTAGGGAAATAATTGAAAATAATTTCCCCTTTTCCCCAGAATTTGGGTGTCCAAAGGCATCCATTTTTTGTTCTGGGGGCGTGCCTGGACACCCTTCTGGCTAAAAGCCTGGATTGAAGACTAGACATGTATTATAAAAGAAGTGTGAACGTGAAAAAGAGCAATTTCTTTGGATGCAACATTTTACTGAATTTCAGTTCACACATGAAATGGCTGGGGGGTTTTTCATGTGAAACGTGATCCAACCCCCAACCCCTCCCCCTCCTTCGCTTTACCAGCCTCTTTTAACAAAATTTGCATTTCCAGCTATTTCCCATAATAATTTTGTTTAAAGTAACCATGCAAATTACACAAATGTGCCAGGCTCAAGTTGAGTGTTACTCTGTTTTGAAAACCACATATAGACATGCATAAAACTGCCACATTAATTGGAAGTGCAAATTAAACATTTTCAAAAGTAATAATTTTGGTTAAGCCAATGGCAGTGTCACAAAAAAGGAGAAATATATTTCAACTTTGCATGCAATGACATAGTATAGCTGGCTGAGTATGCTACTATTCGTATTATAATTATAGACCTAATGTACTTTGCTAAACCATGCACGGAATAACATATGCATTCAGTATCATGAAAATTATTACAGCAGGCGGAAGGCCCTCTGCTAGCACGGTCCCTGATGTCTGGCAGGTTTTACTAGTTGTCTCTATTTATGAAGCTGACATTCATATGATTCATACAAAAAATATAGGCCATAGAAAATATATGACCAATTAGAACTATTTAAAGATGTTAGATGCGAAACCTGGTTAAAAATATTTATTTGGACGAGCTTTAATTCAACTGCCAGTGAGTCTGCAGTCTTCAATGGGTAGACTAAAGTGAATGAAATGATATTTACAGTGCTTTCCAATTACAATATACTGACACAACATACAATTATTGACAGCTCCGCCTACGTATAGGATTAATGACTATTTACATTGAAAAGAATTTAAGGTTTTTAGAGTTTTTTCAGCAGAAAGCGGTATTGTTCTGGCAAATGTTTTGAGTTATTATCAGAGTTTTCAATGCATACAGCGTGCCAACTGCCAGATTCTAATGTTGATCTGTGTCGATAGTTGCCTTTGTCAATAATTTTTTTGTTTACAAAGTCAATTCTATGATCATTTTTCCACGCATGGTTCGCGATGTTTGAGCTACTTTTATATTTCTCCTCGTTTCTTTCATGTTCTCTTCACAATCACGAAAGAAACATGGGGAAATATAAAAGTGAAACTTAAGAACACAAAGAAATACATACAGTCTGTACGCAAGCTAATAAACACTTACATCAGATTATGCCTAATTCTTGCAATATATGCGATTTGCAACCTGTAACTTGAGATTGGCAATACAGTGGCACCATGACCAGGAGGCCATGCCCCCAATTGTTGAAACCAGTTGGAAAATTATGTTGTCGGAATCTTCGCGTGGTCAAGCATACCTGCATATATGAGCGGGAATTTTACTTCTCTTCCTTGTTTGACAACGCGAAACATGTTTGAATAAAAGGATATATAGATCAAATATCGGAAATCGGACTCAGTTTATGTTTTCCCAATATAAGTTTATAGAAAAGTCGATATTTAATTCAATATGATTTCATTGTCGGATTTCACCGAAAAAATATTTTGGATTTGGCGAATAATTTGCGGATCTTACTACTACAGCAGATTCCGGATTTATCTAATATTTTTGCTCAGATTGTGGATTTAACTTGTAATTTAATTCGGATCCTGGATTGTGACTTCATAGTAGAGCTTTTATTGGATCCAAATTTAGACAAGACCATTGTCGGATCAGCGGATTTTGCTTTAAATTTGGGCGGATCGGCGGATTTGTATTCCCCTATTCCTCCCCCCCCCCCATTATTATGTTGGAAAAATTGTGTTTGTTGGGAAAATGGCAGCTTGCCCCCTCCTAAAATATGGGACCACCGATGCTACTGGCAATCTGTCACCTGTGATCTGCGTTACAATATGTATGTGACATGCGACTGCAACTGTGATTTGCAACCTGTGACCTACATTTTAGACCTGCTGCACTTACCCATGCAGGGCCTATGGTCCAGTTGTTCAAAGCTCTGCTAGGGCTAGCCTTGGGTTATAGGTTTGTGTATATCTCCATAGCCCTTTTATTTTAAAACTTTAGAAAGTAAAACATTCGGAATGTTCCGCGGATAATTTTCGTGTATATAAAATATAAGTAAACATTTTTAAATGTTTAAAAAGTATTAACATTTTAAAAAGTATTAAAATACTTTTTATGCCTGTGAATATCAAAATAGTGCGACGGCTGTATGTTAGATAACTTTTATGGTTAATACGTTTTCCCTCGTGAAATAAAGTTTTTATTCTATTTATCCTGGGTTAAGCTAACAAGCCTTCAAACAAGTGGTGCTAGCATTATTCAGTTTCAATAATCCGGTGGTGACTGGTGAGTAACTTGCTGATGGGGCATTACACCACTCTCTTCCACAGAGGCATTTTGTTTTCTTTATGTAGCCAGCCTGCGAAATGCAATCCCCTCCAGCTTTTCTACGCTTGAGCTATATATTTCCATATATAGTGACATAATATCCATTGGTCTTCAGTAAGACTAGGGGTGGGCTCCTGTGGTCGCTCTAACCATTTTGATGCAAGATTACTAATGAGTCTGGATTGGTTAGTGCTTCGGCATATTTTGATTCATTGCGTTTGCTTTCCTGTGTTTTCAGAATTTTGTGAGTGAAACGGAAAGCTATTTGCAGGCCCTTTCTCCCCCGTGCATTCTTCGCGAAAGCCTAATGGGATAAAATGGCATTTTGTAGGTAATCATGGCATCAATCCTTGCCAGCTCAGATGAGAAAACCAATGGCTTTAAGTTGATGAGACTGATTGTGGATGGTGGAACAGAAGCGTTGAGAAATGCCTTTAGAAAAAGTCATCCTGGAAATTTACAGGTGGTATTATCATGTACATGTAGTCCGACTACATCATGTAATCAGCACATTCTTTCTAAGCTTAGAAGTCGCCCGAAAATAATCAATGATGACCAGTGGGATAAATTGTATCCACCTGCTCCTAACCCACCAAACATTAATGATTTTGACATAACATTACTTTCTGTTCTTTTGCGAAACATATGTGGTTTATGGCCCCCTCACGATAAACACTGGGATAAAACGCCAAATGTCTCGGATCATTCTATTGAAGCAGATATTGTTCGTATAAAGTTATTTCGTAATAGACGTTTTGGCCACATACCCAATACTTCAGTTAGTACGGCAGATTATGGGTCTTTCTGGGCGGAAATAAGTTCACCATTAGTTCGTTTAGGGATACACCAGAGCAAAATAGATAGACTAGAGAATGAGCAGTGTGGGGAAGAGGAAGTGGAGCGAGTGCGGAAAGAATGGAAGAAGTGCCATGAGACTGAAATTATGAATGCTTTGGAAGAAAATCTGGATATTTTGAATGAAAATCGTAGTGTTTTGAATGAAATCAAAGATGATGTGAAAGGTCTTAAAAAAGACGAGGAATCTTGTTCAGACGATGTTTTGAACAAAAACCTTGTTCGGTGCAACTTTCGGACAGAGATCGAATTGCATTACGAAAAATTTACGGAAGCTACACGGGAATGGGTATTCGAACAATTTTTGACCTGGTTTAACGATGAAACTTCCCAAAATCGTGCGTTCGTCATTTCTGGCCTTGCTGGCATGGGTAAGTCGGTTATTGCCGCTGCTATCTGTAAAAGGTTTGCTGAGCACGTTGGTGCATCTCATTTCTTTCAATATAATAACAGTCAGTACAATAATTGCAATATCCTTCTTCAATCTTTAGCTTGGCAGCTGTGTCAAGTTGTTCCTGCATACAAGGAAGCACTTATCCAGAAGCTTTCTGGCAATCTTGGACAATCTTTAAATAATGCGAATAGTGAAGGGTTATTTTCTATTCTTTTTAAAGAACCGTTTTCAGGTATTGCTGATCCTGGAAAGCGAATATTGATTGTACTGGACGCTGTGGATGAAAGTGAGTACCATGGAAGGCATCAGCTTGCTAATTTGATCTCCAATTACTTGCATACACTTCCTTCTTATATTCGTTTTCTGATCACCACTAGACCAGAGAAGAATCTTATCGATAAGTTTAAACAACTGAACCCCTTGTATATTGAAGGCAATGATGAACGCAATTTGTTTGACCTCAAACTGGTCTTGCAGGAGAGAATTTCAGAGGCGAGTGCCCGTACGGCAGATCTTATAGATAATTTAGCTGAAAAATCTGATGGTCTAATGCTGTATGCATTCTTTCTTTCCGAAATTTATAATGACGAATCGTCAATGTTCAGCATTGATAGTTTGCCACAAGGTATTGGAGAGTATTATGAAAGATACTTTCGAAGACTGGAGCGCGAACTAGGTCTCTTGAAAATTTCAGAAGATAAATTCCTTTCTTTTTTAAGTGCTCTTGCGGTAGCTAAGGAGCCGTTGCCAGAGGCTTTCCTTGTAACCCTGTTAGGTTTAGACGTTTCGCGAAGGACAATGCGGAAGGTAGAAAAAGCAATTTCATCTCTTTTTGTCATCAACAAAGACAACTGTGTATCGTTCTTTCATAAATCAGTAAGAGATTGGCTTGTTGATATCTCCGAACATGATTACTCTGTTGATGTTCAAGATGGTCATAAGACTCTTTTTGATCTGTGTGTTATAAGGTTGAATAAATTGAAGCAAGTAGACGTCAGAGATGTAGCCAATAGTAATGCTGCATTCAGATATTCTATAAAATACTGGATACCACATATGCTTAACGGACCAGAAGACCCAGGTAAGTTTGCAGATTTCGTTAGTAATTACGCCGCTGATTTACAAGTTTTGTTTGCCAGTGTTTGTGTCGATGTAGATCTTACTTTGAACAATATTACTAGCCTGACGAATCACAGGATGTACAATCTTGTTTCTGAAAACACGAGAGCAACTGTGAGCCGATTTTTTTACCTGATGAGAAGGTTTAGCTTCTTGTTAAGAGATTGTCCTCGCACCTTTTTACAAAACGTTGTTAACAAAGGGGGGAGGAGACCTTTCGTTGAAAGCGTCATCCTTGCTTCAAAAGCACTACAAGGATATTATTTACCTAGAGTTTGTTAAGAAAGATAGAAAGAATGACGCGCTCCAAACCCGTTGCCTTCTCTCTGGCATAATATCAGGGATCGACATATCCCCTAAGCATGATTACGTTGTATGTTGTTATCAAGAAGGTGGGATTGAACTCTTTTCCTTAGTAACTGGTAAGTCCGAGTGGAAAATACGGCAATTCAAGGTAGAACTTCCTTTCTTTCCATCGGTGGGTAATTATATTGGTGGTCCTTTTATGTTGGCACATTGTATTGTTTTTCACCCTGAAAGCTTGATATTACCTGGGAGACTCGACCAAGGGTTAACGTTAGAAGGAACTTTTACAACTGGACCATTTCAATGTGATGAAGGTTGTTCTAAATTTACAAATTCTTGTTTCTCCTCAGATAATAGCAGAATGGCCACACACTATGACATCATCTTAATTGTTTGGAACGTTTTAAATGGCACAAAGGAAATATGTATCCCTTGCAAAACACTTTTCTCTTTTTCTTTTACCGCTAGTGGCAATTTTTTGGGCACCATTGATATTGAAAACGTTTTCAACGTTTACGATGTAACAAATGATTACACGGTCTTTAAGTCAATAAAAATTATCTCCCAGTTTCCAGTAGAAATTGTTTCCACTTTTAAACATAATTCTTGGTTTTGTTCTTTTCAGCGTTTTATAACAACTACAAATCACGATCTATCTCTTCAAACGAGTTTCTATGTTGTATGGGACATAATTCTGCCAAGCAACTTTTACTGTTCTCACGAACTGAAGTGTTTCTTGCAGCATCCGGAGAAGTCTTGGTCTTCAAAGATAAAAGATATTCTCAATCACAATTTTGGTTGGTCTTCATACACTGCTCTTAGGTACATTTTAATAGAGGATAAAAATGTGCTGATCTACTCTTGCAAATCAAACACCATGCACGTGTTTAGCTTAGAGGGTTTAGTTGATACAGAGGAACGGGCCCCCAACAGGAAAGGTGTCTTTTCCAGCATATCTGCAAATGGCGATTTTGTTTATTTAAATAACATTTTGGCGCAGAGATTTACTATTTGCGAACTTGATTCAAATAAGATTAAGAAACATCAAAAACGTCTCCATTCAGATCAATTAGAAATTCCAGTTGTGAGAGACGGTGTTATTTTATATGGTGAAAATAGCACTCCACAGCTCTGGAATAGTGATTTGACACAACGTCTTGCAAGCTTTGATCAACTGGCTGGAATTAAGGGATACTTGTCAGTATCGGATGAATTAATAGCTTGTGTTTACCAGTCCTATGTAACTTTCTTTCATGTTTTTACTAAGGAAGTAGAATCGAAAACGAGATTTAATGAAGATGTTCTCAGAGTATATGCATGCAGCAGTAAGTATCATGTTCTTGCGCGGTCAAAGTCCAGTGACATTTCCTTATGGAAGGATGGAACGAAGGTAGGTGGTTGGGAAGATATCTTTTTAACGAATACGTCTCTGAGATGCATTTCATTTGCCAAATTTTCTCCCCAGGGAAATAGATTAGCATTGTCGAGTGTTGAAGTAAACAAAATATTTATATTTGACGTTGTCTCGATAAAATTTCTTGCTCAGATCCCTATTAACGGAGCAAATAGTAATGTCATCCGGTTGATGTTTTTTGACGACGAAAACTTAGTTTGTAGCTCAACTAACCACATGCTATATTTCATTAATGTAGATCGTGGTGAAATATTAACTTGTTTAGATGTAGGTGATATTCCAGCACCGATCGCTGTGTGTCGGGAGCGAAGCATTGTTTTTGCTGCTCTTAATTGTTCAGAACGATTTGAGTTAATTAAGGTTTGGTTGCCTCGCAAGTTGTAATTGTGTTATGCTGATCTATTAGCTTTGAAAAATGTTTCTAAAAATGATCAAACAAATGCTGAAAACTTGTTTATATAATAACTACAGTGAAACACGCAATTTGATTGATCAACAGCCGTGCAGGATCAGACAATCCTGCACGGGAAATTCTGAACAGAAATTCTTGCACATAATTTTACAAAAATACTCGCATTGTAAAGTTTCATTGTACGATACCTTTCGACTTTGAAGTAAGTTTGCAATTATTGAGACGTTGGTTTAGTTGTATGAATAAATTTGTGATCGATACATTGCTGTTCAGCAAGTAGCAACGCCTAGCGTTGAAATTCATCAGACCATGGCAAGTACAACATCTTTCGCTAGTCGCTTCAAAGTTCAAACGCTTCGCAATCTTCAAGTATTCAGGTCGAGAATCTTCAAAACTACTTTGGCTCTCTGTTTAGCGGGTTTTCCATTTCAAATTTCGTAAATTTTATCGAAAAAGTCTATGTATTTTCGTTGTATATTTTCGCGAATTTGCGATCAAATTCTGTTCACATTTGTGGCGTGGAGTAGCGATTCTCCGATTGGTTAATTCACGATTGTTGTGAGAACTGCACATTTCATCAGTAATTTTAATCAAGTCAACCGTCGTTTCACTGTAGTAATTTTATAAAACAATTACCAAATGGTTTTCCCGCCCAGGATAGCATGATCCATGCACTTGGGATGTTGCTCGACTTTCGGAAAGCGTAAAAATACACTCGCCTACGGCTCGTGATTTTCACGCTTTCCGAAAGTCTCGCAACATCCCGCGTGCATGGATCACGCAATCCTGCACGGAAAACCATTCGGTATTCCTTTAATAGGCTAAGTATATACAATGATAAGCATTGTTAAGGAATCGCTATGGATACAACACTTTTTCGGTTGGTAAGTACTGTCTTACTCACATTTTCTGGCAATGTTTAATGTTGAATTATGTAACATTTCAAATCTAAAAGGTGAGAACTGGACGAGATGACAAGTCCGATCGAGCTTTTATTCATACTCCTAAACCATGACTTAAAGTGAGTAAATTTAAATTCGTTTTCATGATCTAGGTGACTTAATCTGCCATGCATTCAGTGTCATCTTGTGAGCAAACTAATGCGATGTGACAGGCTAATATCTTCATGAATTATTGGTGAGTTTGAGAAAATTAAGGCAAGAAATGTACCAAATTAAACTGCTAAGGTAAACAAGCGAATTGACAATTTATATTGCTGCAACTTGAAACGCAATACAAAAGAACGTTTAGTTCCGAAAACAAGCGCTGAAAACGAATTAAAATATCAGGAAACTCATTTATCTACTAAAGTTTCGATTGAAACGTCGAACCATTTCAAGATTGTTGAAAATTGTTGGTCCTGCAATGTCGGATGATGTTTGATGAAAATTTTGAATTACTGTATGTCAAACCTGATCAAACATCAGGCAACATTATGAAACGTAATTTTCAAACTGACCATGTCCAAACACAATGTTGAACAGGCCAAACAAAGTTGATTATAAAAATGTATGCCATGATGTTGCTTGGCCCTTAAGGAGTTAAGGTCCTTAAGAATTGTCACTTTTCAAAAACGAAGAGAAAGCTCTTAAGGCCATATAAAATAAATTCCTTGATTCTCATCACCGCCCGACGATATTTTGGTTTCCGCGTTGATATATTTTTGTATTTTGTTATAAAATATAAATTTACCGCCCGACCGAACATCTTCAGAAATTTAGTTATTTTTATATTTTATATTGGAATTTTTGCGATATAAAATTGTTTTATCGTTAATATTGCAACATGTTAAGGGATGCTTGGAATACTGAAGGAAAAAATGGGCTTATAGCCTTATTACAACGATTTGCATGTGCATGGACCCTTATATGCATGTTCATTACTTTCATTAGCGCATGTACAATCATCCACTTATATAGCGTTCTTCTATAATATATTTAAGGGCAAATATATTTAAGGGCAAACGGTTTTCTTGAACTTTTTTATGCCTGCGGTTACACTTCAAAAACATTGCAATGCCAGCAATTCGCCATTTTCAAGTGACTCAAAACTGTTCGCGCCAAAATGTACATATTCTATATAATTATATTAATGCTTAATTGTATCAGAAAATGAACACCTAACAGCCACACAATTGAAATAAGACCTCCTAGAAGATTTAAAAAATTACTTGACTTTTTTGAAAACATTTAGTTGTAAAGTTGGACTTTGAGAACTGAAGCGATCTTATTATTGTTAATGGGGGAAGTGAAACTATAGAAACAGTTACGACATAAAACATGCCAATGCAGATTTGAAAATCGACGAACTGGAAAAGATGGAATGAAGTCTTGAAGATATATGTATTTACAGAAACATGCCCGAAGCTCGACCTAGACATTCTAACGTGGATAAAATTTACTCGCCATGCACAGTTGTTTCAACAACATATTTTGTCGGAGTTATATGAAGTAAAAGACTTAGTGATTTAGCCATAGGCTACAAACTCTTTGTGTATAGTGTCACGTGAGGTTGAAATCAAAATACATATTAATTGTTTGTGGCTTGCTGCCTTTTTAATTAAAAGACATTTCTACCATCAGTGCTGTCCGTTTTGTTGCATCGCTGGCGAGTCTCATTAGAAAGCGAAAGATCCTTGATCAACTGCTAAAAATCACCGTGCAGTTACAGTGTACGTTTATATATGGACAAAGATAATAGTATGTGTGACTTGAATCACAGTTAATAAAGAAAAGAATGTCACCTTATTAACATTGTAGTGTTAAACTGTACAACATGGATCGTGTTGCATATGGCAACTCTATTTTCCTGCTGCAGAAATAGAAAAGCTTCGTTTACCTGGAACTAGCAAGCACCTTGGGAAATGCATATTATTCAAATATTGGCGATGCGTGGACTATTTTAATCAGGGATAAATATTTAAAACTGACACTTGTACTGTGGATCGACTTGAATCAACTCGGGAGGAAATAAAACTCGTTTACGGCGAAAGAACACATACGACTTTGTGTAGGAAACACTAAAATCAAACCCATATATAGACGCATGAATGGTTGTGGCAAATTGACATAATTCATTCAAAATAAGGGAACATCTGTGAAGTACTGCGGGCATGTATCGTAACTGAATTAACAGCTTTCCCCCAAGAAATTAGGACGTTTATTGCATGTACATTGGCAAGAAAAAGAATAAAGTGAAAATGTTTAGTTGTTTTTGCATATAGGGAACACGTTGATGATATACATGAAACATGAAAATTTTTCCAGATGTTTTAATTGATTTTTGAGCAAGATCATGTTCCTTGAAAATGCTTTTTCCAAAAATGAAGAGGAAGAAATCACTCACATTTAACGCAGTAATAATGTGAATAAAACTATTTTTCCAGACTGAACTGAGTTTCGTGTACATCATTACGTGAATAACGGCATTATATCCTGGAAATTGTGGAAAGGGACATTGATTGGTGCCTTTCTTCGTGCTTCTACGTACAATTGTGACATACACTGGGCTTCTTAGCTTCTTCTGGACTAATGTCAGGCAGTGACAATGTTCGAGAAAACTCACTCGCATGTATATGTTGTGTTTTAGATTATTAGATTACTATGCCTAGGGCTATGCCTATATGGGAATAGTTTTTATTGATTAGATTAAATAGCATGGCAAAAGATTTTCATATGTATAGTATGTGTGAAATTTTAGTTCTTTTATGTTTACAATTATATGTTTCAACTTATAAGTCTTTAAGTAAGTAGGGGTGTGCTATTCTTCCTTACTTTTAGCTGAAAAGTGAGCCGAATAGACAACTTGCATGTTCGACAAATTTTTGATTTAGGAAAAAAAAGGAAATTTCCGTAATGAACTTATTAAAATCAGTAAAATTGCAAAATTTGGCTGCGAAATGTTGTAAAATGCAGAAAATATAGCCTTGCGAAGTTTGCATATTTTCAGTATATTTGTATTAGCTACGTGCGAAAATTGTTACCATTTTTGAGCCGAAAATGGTAACAATTTCCGCACGTAATACAAATATACTGAAAATATGCAAACTTCGCAAGACTTTATTTTCTGCATTTTACAACATTTTGCAACCAAATTTTGCAATTTTACTAATTTCATTATTTTCTTTTTAACTGTTGTGTTTTATTCCCTTCTCTTTACTTAGATTAAAATTTAGTCTAACATGCAAGTTGTCCATTAATTACGAAGGACGCAGTTCAAACTGATCGAGCTGGCAGAATTTGGCTTACTAAAGGTGCCTCTGGGTGCCGCCGTATGATTAATTTCTAACCACGGCGCATAGCTACGGTGGAAGGGTTAGAGTGGAACTACTGACTTGGACACAAAAGAAAATGTTACGCTACGATACGATTGAAGTGGAAAACGACCTTAATAGCGTTAAGGCGGATTTCCAGTCCTCGCACGACGCTTCTGCGAGTGCTTGCATCTAATTAAAATTAACTGTTTAGCATTGTGATTGGATGAAAGTGCTCATGCATGCACTCGCAGCGAGGAGCTTCGTCCGAGGACTGGAAATCCGCCTTTACGCCGTTTATAGTTCTATATAAAATTTAGAACTGCGCTTCGAAGCGTAACCAGAATGCATTCTCCGCATTCTGTGATTGCTCAGTTTGTATTATTCTCATCTCCGTGGCCGTGGTAATTTTACCAAGATTGTGGATAGTTTCAACTTTATAGACGCTGTTGTAGTTGCTTCAACCTCGTTTCCTGGAAAGAGCCTGGGAACGAGGTTGGCAGTGCTTTTAACTAAACAGCTACGTTTACACTATACCGGATAGCTATCCGTAGCGGAGCGAAAAAGCACCTATCCGGTATGGAATGTACAACTTTCAGAAGCTGTGCGAAACAACATCTCGCCGTTCCAATAATTCCTCTGAAAATAGCGTTCCTAAAAGGTAGGAATATTGTCACTGGAGCTATTTTTGGGGTCCCCCTGTTAATTTGAAATTTTGGCTAATATCCCTAAAATCAGTTGGTATAGATAATATTCACAGTTTACTTTTGACGATTTATCGAGAGTAGCCTGCGTCGCATACTTCAAAACATATGTTTTATCAAAAGATTTGCATTGTTTTCCCATAGCGCAATATTATTACTCGTATTAAAAGAGGGTGGGAAAGGGTATTTTCGTGAGCCGTGAATGGTCAATATTTGTTCGCGTGAAATGCTTGATTTTAATGTCGTGAAATGTGATTTGTTCTACAGCCGTGAGGCGTGATTCTTGATAAAAATGGTCCGTAAAATGAGAATTAAGGATGCCTGTTTCGTGAACTGTGGTTATATATTATAGCGATTATTATAATAAACATGATACGCGATAATCAAATTTATATGATCTCACTCGATTGCACAAGATTAAAAACTTCGGAGGCCTTTCGCGAGGTTCCTAGCGCCGAGGACGTGGTTCCTGGAGCTGAGGACGTGGGCCCTGGCGCTGAGGACGTGGTTCCTGGCGCTGAGGACGTGGTTCCTGGCGCTGAGGACGTGGTTCCTGACGCTGAGGACGTGGTTCCTGACGTTGAGGACGTGGTTCCTGACGCTGAGGACGTGGTTCCTGACGTTGAGGACAAGGGTCCTGAGCCTATGGCCGTAGATTCCAACAATACAATTTTCAGACTGAAAATTGTATTTCTGGAATCTACGGTCCATAAGCTTTCTGTCGATGCCTCATTCTGGTGCATCACTAGACGTCCGTGGACATAAAAAGCAGTTTTTCCAGCTGCACGTGTAATCAAAAAGGACGCGAAAGTTAATATTATGCTGTTTCCAATCTTGCGTTCTATTGAATTTCAAGGCCCCTGTAGCATAAACTTGAATTTACCACGGTCTGAAAATTGTATTTGTGGAATATACGGTCCAAAAGGTTTCTATCGATGCCTTATTCGTGTATCACTCAAATAATTTCGTGATACTTTCATCTTATTAGTGCCTTGCACGTTTGAGAATTTAACTATGCAAAACTAAAGCTTTTTTGACTTTTTTGAAACGTATTATTGGAGTATTGGCAAATTTTACCATTCAGAGATTTACAAACTAATATTGAAACTGTAAAAAACAGTTTCATGTATAGCGTATTCACTAATGAGTAATGGCAACTTTTAAGCCGCCATACAATTTCCGATAATGACAAAATGCGGCTTGTATAGCCTTTAGTCGCTCTCAGTGACTAATAATTCTTTGGGGGGAGGCAAATTTGCCCCCCTTCCCCCCTAACGCCGCCGCTGCCCCTTGCATTTTATACCGCTTTTTGAAAGATAGGCAAAGCAAATAAAGGTTAGCCTTTTACGTTTTCGTAAGAGTACAGTTTTATGATTTGAAAAATGGTGCAAAGATTGACATAAAAATTGAAAAAAGAGAGAAAATGGGGAAAAAGAAAAGTTCGTCCATTTTTTGACATTTATATTAAAGTGGAGCTACATTTGCGTGCAAAAAAGTAAAGGGTCAGGCCCTCAATTTTTGGCGACTTAATTTTTTTAAATAAAATTTGGTCATGAGGGATTATGTAGATATAAGTATAGTTTAATACCACCGAGATCTGCTAGTCGAGTGGTAATCTTCAGGTGTTGCATGAGGAAGAAGTACGGATCGATCCCTGCTGTAGTCGGAACCATTTTAATTAATTCCACCCGAGACGAGAAAGCGTTAAGTAGAATAAAAAAGGAGTTAAAGCATGCGTAGGCGAGATGGTCTAGTGGTAGGGACGAAGTGTTGCAAGTGCGTAAATCTAGGATCGATTCCTGATTGTGCCGAAAGCATTTTAATGTCAGGCATCGTTTCTTAATTCCATCCGAGACGAGAAAGAGTTAAGTAGAATAAAGAAGGAGTTAAAGCAAGTGTAGGCGAGATGGTCTAGTGGTAAGGACGAAGTGTTGCAAGTGCGTAAATCTAGGATCGATTCCTGATTGTGCCGAAAGCATTTTAATGTCAGGCATCGTTTCTTAATTCCATCCGAGACGAGAAAGAGTTAAGTAGAATAAAGAAGGAGTTAAAGCAAGTGTAGGCGAGATGGTCTAGTGGTAAGGACGAAGTGTTGCAAGTGCGTAAATCTAGGATCGATTCCTGATTGTGCCGAAAGCATTTTAATGTCAGGCATCGTTTCTTAATTCCATCCGAGACGAGAAAGAGTTAAGTAGAATAAAGAAGGAGTTAAAGCAAGTGTAGGCGAGATGGTCTAGTGGTAAGGACGAAGTGTTGCAAGTGCGTAAATCTAGGATCGATTCCTGATTGTGCCGAAAGCATTTTAATGTCAGGCATCGTTTCTTAATTCCATCCGAGACGAGAAAGAGTTAAGTAGAATAAAGAAGGAGTTAAAGCAAGTGTAGGCGAGATGGTCTAGTGGTAAGGACGAAGTGTTGCAAGTGCGT